TGAACTATATATAATATGTACGAGGTCCTTACACGCCAACGAAGTCAACTTAATGCCGCCCTACTTACCGATCCAACCCTTTACGCACTATCGAAAAACTTGGCTCCATACATGTCTTATAGGTTAGTGCATGTAACTCCGAACCCGAAGTTTATGTCGCGAGCACACAACAACAAAACGTGATAATACCTCCCCCCCCTTACCCCGTTCATCACAGAAACGGATAAACCAAAACGAYGAATTTGTGCGTACCTACACTGCTGTGCATATACGCAGAGGTTACCTATGTACCTAGAGTACCTATGTTATAATGTTTTGTGATCGTTGACAATTTTATTGTTCGAGAATATTTAATTCATCTGAAGTCAGTTTCAGTAAAGTTATAGTTTTACTTTTTTACTTGAAAAAGTGTGCCTCAAACTACTTGATGGATTCACGCTGCAGGGCGTTTTACCAAGCACACTCTCACCCAATTTTTTTTTATAATTAGTAATAATGAATTAATTCGGATTAAGAATTATTTTAATTTTCAAGTATACAAAGGACCGTATTTTTTAATAATCAAAATTCTATGACGATTTAAAAATTGTTCTGGGACGTACACATTTGTCTTTATTTTTTGATTATCATTAATTTTTATAGTATGTTTTATTTTAAAATGCACGTATTAAACTATGTATATCGTAATTCAAAATTGTAAATTGTAACATTTTATCACGATTTCAAAATTGTAGTAATATATCGACATTTTATGTTTGGTTAAATTGACTAAGTATAATAAGTATGTAAATACTTGGCTGATCCTTAAAAATACAGTTAAATAACTGAGAAAATGCTCGGCTGCAATTCRATATAAATGGATCAACATTCTAAAAAAAATTTGTGTTAATCTTACAAAATAAAAGGGTGGTTTTCTTTGGTAAACAGAAGTACCCATTAGATACAATTCTTAAACTATACAAACAATCTAAAAATATGGCATGAAATATTTAACAATTCTTAACAAAAATMAAATGACTGAATTATAAAATGATTGGAGGTGGGTTAACATCGTGCACAGTGAACCACTATATCATGTAGTGTGTACAATATATTTTATTGTGTCCATAAAGCAATCAATCAACTGTTACTGCTGATATCGATTTACCTATATTATAATATTTATAATATAACAATATATCTTGCGCTTACATTAAAATAATATAATGTATTGATTGTGCAATGATTGAAATTAAATTTTAAATGTTATGTAAAAGTAGGTATGTATGTTGTAATATAATAGTTATCATACCTATTTTCCCCTTTTCAATTTATAAGAATTTTCAACAACAATASGGAAAACATTAATTGTGCGGTRTTGCATACGAATTCATAATATATTATTAGTATAATAAATCGGTAAAAGTTATGATATCAATAATTATGCAGCGAAAATCGAATATTATAATAATCTACAACAACTAATTACACGTAGGTACACGTCATAATCATATTATGATAAAAGCTGCAAATAAAATCTAGGCAAGTGCGTGAATCGTTTCGAGACGGGTTTTGCGCGAATGTTTAACCTTCGTCCCGTCATAAACAGTAAAATGCAAAACCGTGGAAAATCAAGACTATTATTGAACGTCGTGCTCATGATTGTCCGCGAATACCTGCGGATGCACCGTCGGCCTGTATATACAGCCTGCAGGTTAAATAAATGCAAGGACCCAACAGGAACTCGGATTACCATTAATTAATAACGTTTTAATTGATATTGTAAAGACGTTGTTGTGTTCTAGGTCATGTGGYCGTATTAAAATTATCCCTACTTGGACCACTGTCAATATGAAAATCTGATTATTGTGTGCCCGTGCGAGCTATTGTGTTGAGTGCTTTTGGGTTTGTCATCCAGTTTACCTACCTGTATAATAATGCTATACAGCTTGTGCCACGGCTATCCGATAATAATGGTGCCCGAAATTCGGTTCCCTAAATAAATTATGTTGTTTCAGAATGGATGTTAGCATCACGCCATGTTCGGTCTTTYGAGATAAGTTGTGTACGATATATTATTATTACGCAGACGTGTGTGAAGTAAATAAATATTGATAAAAACAAAAACCAAAACACAATTCGCACATACGTATTATATGTCGTAATAATTTTTTATATGCAAAGGTMAAAAAAAAATAATAATAATATTTGAAAGCAAAAAAGATTATTGGTCCACAGGAAAACAAATTGTTACCTACTAAATAGTTTTTGATTTTTCCCGCCGAATGAATATTAGTTGGCCATTTCAAATGGATTTACTTAAAATGATTTACTAATTATAGTCATCAGAAAAATGAAAATTTAGAAACGTATATTAAACAACCCAATTTATGAATGAAATATTTTGACAAGTAAAATGTTGTGTTATTTTAAACACATAATTATACGCATGACGGAATTACAGCGTTTTTTTAGCGATTTCTTCAACTAGAATATACCTAGTATTGTTCTATGTGTACGAATTTCGATTTAATCACTTTGCACTTTGAATAACCTACATAGGTAGTAGTTTAACGGTGGTCGTTAGATTAATTTAAATTTCTCCGTCGACACTGCAGGACAATGATGCAGTTTTGTACCTATTCATCGGCTTAAGATTTTCGACCATTTTGCTGCGGTATCGTTGCGTGACACGCGTCTTCGTCGTAAATCGTCCTTATATTGTACGCAATATTAATGTYCAGTTTCCGTAGTACACTATGACGTTATAACGATTATTGTAGACAACGTTACATTTGGTATTTACCGCGAATACCTTAGCGTTTCGCTCTGCTCAACACCAATCGTATGATTGATTGTGCCCGCCAACCTATAATCGCTCCGGAAAAGCTTAATCATAAACACAATTAGCATTTTTATGTTTTTAGCGTTCTCCGTTTTACCGTTGAATTTCGAACACGGAAGTAATACAGCGATTGTGGCTTACCACAACTACAGATGATAATGTGCAGATTTTTTTCCGCATTATTTTTTTCTCAAAAACGGTAGTTTCCCCCCCTCCATAGAGTTTTAGACCATCAGAGCATCTGAGAAAATAAATCAATTAATCACGGTAATTATTCTATAGTATAACCGTTAGTACTTACGAGCACGATACGTGCTGCAAATATTTTGAGATAAAAAAAAAATTCTCCCCACAGAATAGCAGCAGAATCTCGGCTAACAGAGRAACAATTAAATACAAAATATTTTAATATATTATTTTTGATCAAAACGCGACGCAAGATGTACGCTACACATTTTGAGGTAAAAAAAAAATAATTGTTGTATGACGTCGGAAAGACAGCGGGAAAATCTCGTATATTATAATATCTCAGAAAAACGCTTTACGCCATTCTCGACTGGTGGTCGTGAGTTATGAGTTTATGACATATTTTACTACGAGCGAGACGCAGGTGATGACGTGATAATATCGTGTCCCATATAGACGTACCGCCACCACGATTAAGTGCGGGAAACCATGGCACGGAATTTCGGCCCGAAATTTCCCGTCTTTTCCRTTGTCTTAGGAAACCGACCAAGATGATTTTCCCGGAAACGATGTTATGTTTCTAAAAGTATCATAAAATCGCATAATATATATCTACATAATAATATAGAGAACGATAAAAAACGTTCTAGATTATTACGTTAAGGTATCTGCGTCAAAAATTTATATTCATGTTTATTTTTATCAAATGGCAAAAAAACGCAAATAACTTGGTTTTTAAAACATTGACAATTTAAAGTAAATAAATGACTAAAATTTTAAAATRTGACAAAGACATGCATCGTTTAGATATTAAACTACAATAAATGGATCTAAAAGAATAATTTRACGATCTGTTGACGATTTAATTATGAATTGATAACGCATGATTCACAATTGGTTTTTTTAACAGCTTACAAGTCGTAATAATATTATATTCCATTAAAAAGTTTTTTTCAGTCACAATTCGTTTATTGGTCTGCTGGGGGACGCAGGTTTCAAAGAAAAATATGTATCTATATATATATATGTAGTAGCTTATAGTGTTTTGGTCATGACCATGGCCTAAAGGGTAAGTTAAAAAGGGTTTCGTCTTTAATAGTAAATATCAGTTTTTTTTTTTAAAGGGTTTCTGYTGTATTCATTAATTATGTAAGAACACTAAAACCGTCTATATGGTCGTGTGAATTTTCGATGATTCCCCTTTTCTTTCTCACTCTCTCTCTATAATATATCTCTCACCCTCCCACCGTCTGGCTCACTCTCTTATCTCGTTTCCTCCGAAAACTCTATGGGGAATCGTCGTAAAGTATAGTGCTCCGGCAACTGCGGGGTAACACGTCACCCCTGCTCTCGGCCAGAAGCTCCGCATAAAATATTAAACGTCGTGCGGGATACACATGTCAAATAATTATTCGTACACTCACCAATTGTTCTATTCGTCCCAACTGCAATACACRGACGTAACGCTAAGTGTTCAGAGATCGCTTGTTCCCAGAGGATTACTTTTGCTTTTTAATCGTCGTTCACTTTTAATGCGATTGAGCAGGACGTATCACGACGTAATATGTAYGTGTTCATAATATATTATCTTTATTATTATTTACGGCGGCCGATAAGATTTAGATGAGTAGTAAACGCGTTTAATTTAAATGGTGGAGTATCGAATTCGTTGTCAACGTAAACGATCTATTACAGCAAATATTTAAGTTGTAAATTAAATCTTTTTTTYAACTTAAGCAGTAACTTCTCGCGATCACATCAGCAACGATATACGGATACTTAGTATGGTTTATTGTACGCAGCATTTAAGTTCTTGTTGAATTATGACGTAGATACGTTATGCTTTTGAYGAATTCAATAATATATTATACATACAATATAGGAATACATATGTYATGTGTATAAAATAATATAAAAACGACATTAGATCGTACCAGAAATATAAATATATGTTTATATTTTTATGTTTACCAAGACATATATAGCTTACCCAATATCTCCACAGTATGTGATATCTCCCTGGGTTTCAGCGTTGCTATTTGGCACACGTAATTTCCTGCGTCGTTTGTTTGAATATCACGGATTTCCAGGTTATTGCCGTCCACTAGACGTATCCTTTCGTCTGGAGATACCTTAGTGCTTCCTGCTGTTAACACCGCAATTCCTTTTTTCCACGCTAAAATGTACACTCCTGAAAAAAAAACATAACCAATAATGTAACTATGTATTTACTATATATGATAACATTAGGTACTGTTAATTCTTGAAGAATACACACACCATAAAATAATATACGAGTGCAATTCGTTTTAATGTGAGTKATTTTCATTCAAATGCCGACATTTCATACATTTCAGCACTTTTGAAGTTTTGAAAGCTGATAATATTATGTAAAAATCCTTTTATAAATCTACTCGGTTGTAAACATTTCAGTCTCTAAGTATAGTAATATTAAATCTATGTATTCATTCAAAACAATTTTCATGGATTTCATTTCGGGTTTATAACATTAAATTTTTTTTTTTCTATATATATAACAATAATTACATTATATTTTGATGTTAAATAAATTTTATCATCCGCTATGATCAATATAAACGCATTGACTTGGCAATCATTTTTTTTTTTCTAAAGTAATCATTTGTCTTTAAATTATGTGTTGTAAATTATATTATTTTATGAATTAGCGGKTTTTATCCGAACCTATATACACCTTAGTGTTAACGTTTAACCATAAATGAATAACGTAGAAATTGTATTAAATAAAAATAAAAATAACTTTTATCGGGTCGTATAAAAACGCAGACTTCAATGAAAATTCCAGTTTATGATGGCGACAAGAACTATTATTTCGAAAAATAAATATAACATTAATAATATCATTCAAAACATTGGTGTTGGTGGTTTGTATTTATGCGCTAGAAAAAAACTGTTTATGCAATTAGATGTGGAAAAATAGAAAGAGTTTAAACTGTTCAGTTCAGTTGATTAATGGTAGTTATTTATTTAACAAAATGGGTCATCCAGGTTTTCAGACGGAAGTATAATTAATTATAGATGTTCGCAGTCTAAACAGATTTTATTATTGCTCTCGTTCCGTCAACGAATTATGGAGTAAAAAATGTTCAGTTAAGTATAATACGAAACAATATAAATAGATTTTAATTAACGTTTGTGTGACAATATTGATAATGATTTGTTGACTTTCCATCACCTAGTCATAATTTCAATTTATTTTTACTTTCATAAAAATTATGTATATTTATGTAATCAAAACATTAACTGAATAATATATAAATCAGAGATTTTTAATTTTTTAAAGTAGAATTTGGAACTATAGCTCAATTAATCTAATAAATACAAATTAAAATGAACTACGCAGTTTGCGGCATAAAAATTTATTATATATGAAATATGGTTCAATAAATATATGAGAATGGTTATTTTACTATCGAAAGTGAAACTTCCAAGAAATTCATTGGTTTAATGGTGCTATACCAATTTAAGCTAAAAAACCTGTTGTCAAGAAAAAAATAACATATTGTTAAGTTGGTAAGATGTGACAAATAGTTATATATACTTAAAGCTGATATTGTGTTAAATTGACTAATTTTCTAATATTTTCCAAGTAGGCATATCAATTGTTATTTTCCAGGTAAATTATTCTAACTACAACTCCACAGAAATATTTTTAAAACAATTGCGATTGATAACTTTCAAAGTTTAGACTGCATTAACGCAAAAAACTTCAATTTACTTATTTCAGTTACCTATAAAATGTATCGCATGACTAGAAGTAGATGTTTAATTATTCATTCTATTTTATTTTTATTATATACGTGGACAGTCTTGCTATGGAGCTTGAACCTGGCGGATTACTTTTATTCCTTGAATTTTCAGGTGATCATTTTTAAATCTTTATCTAATTAGACTGAATACTGAAAAGTAACACCGTCTATAGAAAAACTGCGGAATTTATTTTTAATCTATTAATTTTAAAAATGTTGTCATGATCAACGGAATGAAGATGGTAGGTTAGTATTCTCATAATTTTTATATTATCTATATACATATATATATATTTCTATACAGCTAATACGATAGCCGTCGTAATATTTTTGATAAGCGTCATGTCAAACTATTGATTTAAATATGTCTATAGTTAAGAATGATTGACAAAATGTTTAAGAAATAACAGTGACTGCATGTAGCTCTCATGTGTTCGAAACTTCCAATTTATAAATTTAATAAAAATTCTGACAAAATTATTCAATAGCTGCTGCTGCGTAATTCAATATCCAACAGTTCTCGACGCCTTGAACTGATTGTACAACGTAAGTAAACAATACGTAGCGTACGTGAGAGTAACTATGTGTATAAAACATGTAGAGACACCGAAAACCAGAAATATTCTAGATAATATGATTTTATAATTAAGTACATCTTGACTATTTACCACTAGCACGTTGGCGTTTTAGCCACCGGCTATAAAATTAAACAGTAGAAATAAGGAACGAAATGACAAATATTGAAAATATGCAGTTAGCTTATAATGCTGTAGGTTGTCGTGGGTTTCACAACACGATAAATGAATACGAAAATTGCACTTTTGATGGATGGTTTTTTGATTCACCTTCGTCTGAAATGGGGTGAAATAGTATAGTGGAAAGTATGCATAAATTCGTAAAATATTACAGCGGATGCCCTACTATTTCTAACGCTCCATCACCTCGCGCTCAACCATTGCGYATTTTTATATACGAACACACTATATTATCTATATTATATATGTATATTTATATACGATGGATGCCTCTCGAAATGAAATATACTTTTTTTTTCTTCAAGTCATCATTGTGTAAATACCATAGTAGCTAGTGGCTGTGCTCAACACCAAGCGTGTAGTAATATCTTGCGTGGGCGAAGACGCTTTATCGTGATGTGGGAGGAGTGGTGGAGGTTTTATACGAAAATGTGTTTAGAAAATAGTATAATATATAAATGTAAAATCTAATATAACGAAAACCCAGAAGAGGCGGTATCAAGAAAGTGTTGGATTAAAAAGGCACTTATGAAACGAAAAAACCTAAACGCATTACGGTTTGKACGTAACTTTATCCGAAATTGTTTCGTGTTGTGGTATCATTTAAAGCTGTCAAAGTCACGGTTAAAACGTATACGGAAAAATAAAAGTAAATGTGTATTTTAATACGTCTTATGGTTCTTGTGAAATATCCAATAAACCTATTATTTAATTGTAGAATAATGTTTATGGGAACGCAAGAATTGATTTTTAGGTACTCAAATAATATTTATTTTAGCCTTTAGAACCTAACATAAAGTTAAGGTCAGTATAAATATCATTTAACARTTAGAAACAAAAGGTATTTATTTATTAAAATAAGTTACTAGATAAATTAAGTTATTAAGTATTTATTGGATAAATTATTTTTCATTTTTCTACTCAACCGTTCGAACACCCATCATTATAGTATCACAGTTGTTTTGAACACAAACAAATTYTGTGTTAATATAATTATATGGTGATTTTATGCGTCTAAATTGATAAATTATGTTTTCCTTTAAAAAAATATAGCCAGTTAAATGACTACCTATAGAGAGTTAATGGGATACCATTTAATGAGTTTTTTTTTTTTTAAGAAGACTGAGCGGCTGTATTGAATATTGGTTTTATAATGAAGCATTTTTTGGAAAGCATTTTATGGCTGTAATAAAACTCAAAGTTTCGAGCTACAACTTTTTTAATTTAATTGAACACAGATTTTAGTAAAAAAGTTATTAAAAAATCTGAATAAGAAATATAAGTATTTAAACCCATTTCAAAAAAAAAAAAAAACTTTGGCCATTTTTGAGTAAACATGGAATTTTTTCATATGCGTATTTATTTTATCATAGTTCGATGCTTGAAAACTTCAAGACACAACAAAATATTGATTGAACAATATAATTGACTCCTAAAAATATACAAATATACATAAGAATATATATATTTATTTTAGAAACTGAAAAATACTGACAGATAATATGAAAATGTAAATCTAAATAAAGTAGGCTAATAACATTTATAATCGAAGTTATTTTATTTTTAATATAAAAACAAAACATATATCATTTAAATCAACAAACTGTCTATTTTCCRTGTTTCGTAAATTRTAAATACATATTAATGCATATTTTGAACATAAATAATAAATCATATACTCCCTGATATTATTAACGATTTACRATMAAGTTAAAAAGATTATTTAAAGTGAGAATTCGATTTATTTTTCATCACACGAAATGGTTTCTTGTTATTCGATGTATAATAATGTTTAAATTATGTAATGCATTTGATTTGTAAATTTTTCTCATCTAAATAATGGTATTCCCATAAGAGTTTCAAGAAAATCTAAGGATAATATAAAATCCGTTGAATATTTTAGTGCTGGAATTTTTTTAGAAAACGTACAACGCCTTCCATTACATAATTTTTGTCTTTAATGACACTATACATAATATTAGTACTACGTCTGCTGGATATTTCACCACTGGTCGGCGGACGCCATCATTAAACACAAATACATATGAAACGACTGAAAACCTTTTGCTCTTTATATGTCAACCGAAATTATTTATACCGGTAGCGTCAGTAAACCTTATCCGCGTGTTACACATTATATTATGATAGGAGTACGTGACCGAATATTATATAGAATTACAAAAGGTCTCGCCAGGAGACAGTGAAAAATATATAATTTCGTAGATAGGAGGGTGTACAACACATGTACGACTATAAAGAGAGAGTTAAAAAAAAAATCGGAGCGTAAAATTAAGCTATGAAAAGAATTTTTCATTAGCCAGGTATTATTAGCATCGAGAAGGGGATTGCGTTAGGTAGATATGATGAACTTTTATTGTTATACTACTGCTGTTTTATTATCATTTGTGTGTGTGTGTGTGTGTGTGTGTGTGTGCGCTCAGGTTGCCATAAGTGAGACCCTCACATAAATGAACGACAACGTGAGGGAGATTTTTCATCGGGGCTAAAAAATATTTTTTATTTTTTATTGTGTTCCAGAACGTTTTATTTTCTTGTGTTTTCAAGAGATATTTATATAATTTGAAAAACAATGCCAATAATCTTGTAAGAATTCAAAGAATAATAACCAGCAGTGTTTCAGGATTCGTGATGTAATTTAAATTACAAGACGTGACGTATAATTGAGTGCTTACATATAATAACACAATATGAATAATATGATTTCGTTTTATCGATTAAAATAATATTTAATATTCTKTATTAGTGTTGTTTACTCTCTAGAGACTATGTATCACACCACACTTATTTAATCATAATATAGTTTCAATGCGAATTAGCTCTCAAGGAATGAAGTTATCCAATGACCAATTAAAAAAAAWATATATATATATATAATATACCGTTATAAACCACCCTAATTAAATATGGTTTTTGTTTTATCTACTTTATTATGGTATAATTTTACTTAGAAAAATCAAGACGATTAACGAAAGACTATTTTGTGATAATCTATAATCCATATTCACAACTTAACAAGTTTTAAACATTTTTATTGAAGACAAATTTATAACATGTTCTTCTTTCATATGCACCATAATTCATAAAAAAAAATCAAAACTAACTCGTTTTAAAATAACAGTTAATAATGCATATTATTTCAAACACCCAATTAAGAGAGGAAATCAATTGTCAAAACATTCTGCTATATATACGCCAAGTACACAGAATAAGAATATAATCCCTTCGGTAGAGAAAAACAACAACATTATTATATTATTATGTCTCTTAAAGTATTTTTGAATGAAGCTTATGCATTTTAGCAGAGCATGAACAGTGAACAGTGAACACTAGTATGCATCATAAATTATTATTCTGATAAAGACATAATCCTATAATAATAATTAAAATGTGTGTGTATTTGGCCCATAGTACCTATATTAATAACAATAAAAATTATATTTAGAAAAAAAATGCGAATATAGGTATATCCATTTTTAATACTGTTTTAAATCTTTGCTCATTACATTGTTTTAGTTAATATATTATATTGTAATATTTGTTTTATTTATTTCTGATAAAATGTGTTAAAGATAAAATAAAACAAAATACAAGTAAGTATTCTAGCAAAATGTTTCGAAATATTTTAGAATTTGTATTGTTTTTAATGATGAATCAAATATAAAGATAAATATATAGATTTTATATTATTGATACTTGAATAATAATATACAACATTTTTTGTGTTTCCATAATTTGTGTAAATGTAGTGTTAATTTAAAATTTAAAAAAAAAATCAAGGAACCAAACGGAATTTATTTGAATTGTATTTGTTTGCCGTACGGTAAACTTTGGTTCAGTGGACAACAGTTTTTGTTATTCATTTATTTTTCAGTCTGGTAAAAAAGTCTATTGACTATTAAAACTAAGAGTGTCGAAAACGTTTCGAATTAAAAAAAAAAAAGCGTTATCGTCGAAAAATAAACATGAAGACAATGGGTTTATTTTTTTTTCAACTTAACTGTTTAATATCATGTGAACGCTTAGAATACCAATGGATCTATTAAGCTACTTTAAAAAAAAAAAACACATTTGAATTTTACACACTGGATAAACATTAACGGATTATTCACTTCTACCAAAAATCAAATACCTACAACTTCAGCAGAAAAATACTCAAACAAATATCTATTTAACGTGGGGGATTATATAAGTGAACAATAACTTCTGGTAAATTTTATTTTCTATCGATTAAATTCAATACGCATGATTAATTAAGATAACATTTAGCAATAGTCTACCTAGTAGAAGTAAATATCACTTATCGCTTTTTAAATTTGATTATCCTCAGAAAACCGTTTTCGAATCAATCGTTTAATATTATAACTATAAGAAATGAAAAAGAGAATAATATTGCAAACAAAATATACCTATACCTGGAAATAAATACATTTACATGATAAGCAGAAATATATGAGGGGAATTATTATCTTGTGGTGAACTCTTTAAATCATTCTATAGTTAAAAATTGACAAGAATTTATTTCAAACTTTTTTCTTATCACATTGTTCTGTATTCTTTATTTCAGAAAACCATAGAAAAAACTTTATATCTGGTACTTAAAGATTTACGAAAGATAGGATTTTGAGTTTCGGGAAATACGCTTAGTAAATATGGCTAGTGGCTACATAATATAAAAACATTTAAGTTTGTCACGTAGAAGCTACATTATTATTCATTATAAATTTATAATATCAACAACCTATCAGATTATAACCTAGTTATTCACATCAATGATAAACGATTTAGTTTAAAGCTATTGTTATTATACCTTTTGTTTATTTGTATATCAATATAATATAGCTAGGTATAGCATAGACCTTATGCTAAGTATACCTTAGTATAAGGTATATGAGGTATAGATGTATTGAGTTGATTAATTATATAGATATCTATAAAATAGAATAATTTATGTATAAACCTTGAAATACTCTTGTATCAATTATTTTTCTTGTAACAATTATCATTGTAATAAACGTATAACCATAATTATCATAAATAGTTTTTAAAATACTAAAATATACCATCTATATTTTTAAAGATAACAGATAACATAGTAGTTACTATTAATGACATAATACTATATTGCAATTTTAAGTTTTGTTATCATTTATAGGTTATAGTTTATATATTATAAGTATTGTCCTTTTCCATGTATCACGATAATTAATTAACTCAACATCTAAGGACAAGTCTTATTAATATTATAATAATAATAGTGGTGAATTAACTAATTTATTAGTTAACACTAAGATTTACAGACATCGTAATAAAATTAATGGTAATTTTTGGGACTATCACGACTTCCAAACATAGTACGTATGTATAAGGTGGTGACATTTACTCGCTATGTTTACTTAGACAGTTTAAATCGAAAACATCCCTCTYGACATGATATATAAAAACACATTGWGTACTTCTCAAGGTGAAGATAGCTTAAGTTTGGTTAYTCTGAGACCTATACATAGAAGGTGGTTTTACGTTATAGCAAATCGAGTGATGTTTTCCATTTAAATTGTCCCATTGAGAGCAGTGAATTATCCTGTACTTACCATGATTTGTAGTCGCGATAACCGAAAAGTAACGAAATTATCACATTTCAGTATGATATATAAAATAATATTATGTTATATCCGTTGTTGAAATATACAAGATTATTGCATATATATGTCCTTCTCAATGAAATATTTAATGATAAAAACAAAAATAGAAGAGCATTAAGAAAAATAATATATAGTACCTTGAGCCATAATAAGTCAATGTACAATATGTATGTAGTTATATAGATTTAGTAAGAGTCGGCTCGACTACATGGTTCACCATATTCGATTCCAGGTGTTGGTATTATATTTTAGCCATAGGTATTTGTTTGGATTGCTCTAATAAATTWAATATTTCAAAAATCACGAAAAGCCATTATAACAAAACATTTGGCAAAGGTGGGTACGTCATAATTGTTGTAAATTACAACTTGTAATAATATTGTTGGACAAGTTCGTTGATGAAGTCAAGTCATAAACACAATACGTACGACAATTTACGATGAAAATATAAGACAGTTAATTGAGTTAATTAGGAGTTTAAGACGTTTTGGAGAATATTTTCAAAGTTATTATAAGTGTCAATTTAATTAAGAATTACCTGATCAAATTAAAAATTACGATATTCCCGGCAATGATTTGTTGTTTTTTTACATAAATTGTTTATTTAAGCAAAGAATTGACGAATTAAACTCCATTTTGTGGCCACATAAAAATGTTTTGTGTAGTGGCTTAAATTCTCAACTTTCAGAAGTTCGAAGAAAAATGTTTGTTCATATTTCACAGAGTATAAAATTATGAAGTATGTCATATAAATACATGATACATAAATAATAAAAATGTAATAGTATATAAAATGTAACTCTTGATATTAATTATTTTTTACATAATATATTCAGGTAAATATTTAAAGTCRGTTATCGGTATTTTAACTTGCATATACGGAACTTTATTCTTTCATTTCAAAATTAAAACACATTTAATTCTATTTCATATTTCAATGTTCATTATATGATATTAGTTGTATACCTATTATAATATTATTATATCACTGTAGTATCTACGCTACGGTGATACGTTTAATCGTCTATCTAGGTATTAATTACAATTCCATTATAATTACAGTTTTTCATGAATAAACTAGTTGATCATAATTATTTTWATTTTAAGTATGTAATACAATATATTAAAAATAACATTTCCTATAACCCTTTTGAAATATACTACCTGATGCTAGTGTTTCACTATTTTTCAAGCTCGCGTGTTTACCCAAGTTGTTTAATTTATTGCATTTCTTAGTTTCTTTCTGCAGGCGAAACGGCTATTTTTTCGTTGTTATAATGGTGTAACAACCTTAAATATGTAAATCATAGTGCATGTACGGAAATTTAACATTGGAGACCGCCGAACAAATTAAAAATTAAAAACACCCGTCATTCTTTTTAAATGTTTTTGGGACACGATTATTCACGATCATTACCCGCAAGTTCCACCTGGTCCGACCGATATTTATTAAAACAGTTTTACATATTATTTGACGGTTATGGTTKGTAAAGAAAAAAATGTAGTTAAACCCTTAAATATATTTTAATAATAAACTATAGAAAATTTAATACCTAATAAAAATATTTTAATGTATAATAATAAACGTCTCAAGTCGTACTCACCCGGGTTGATAACGTCACATGGGAGRACAACGGTGTCATTCGTGACCACTCTAAATCTTCTTCCTTGAGAACCAAATGTCGGCAAAGAATCAGGTTCCGGATTTTGAGTAGGTCTCTTGGGTGAAGCAAAACCTGTAAGCAATTATTGAGTTATATTATAGTTCAAAATCAATATAATTTTAGACATTATAACCATATTGTTATACATGAAATCACATGATAACTAAATATTTAACTAATCTTTTATACATTGCTATTCAGTATTGTAGTAGTACTAAAAAAACATGTGGAACTTCGACGTTTTTTGAAGAATTAAAAAAAARTGTGCATAATTTATTTTGCGTGATGAAAATTATTACCTATCAAAACAAAAGTTTAACAATACACAATAATATTATACTGATTATTATTATTATTATTATTATTATTATTTAGATGAGCCACAATAACATAGATATTATACTAATAATTATTATAATAAATAATAATTCCGGATAAAATTATGTTGTGTTGGAGTTTATATCTTCGTTATGATTCTCACTCGAACTAATTCACGCCGCCACTAATGAATAGTCGTTTTCTGTTGTGGAATGATGGAGTCAAAACAAATTTTACTGGCGTTCGGTTGTTTTCAAAGTTTATGACTTCTACTTATTGTRCAATAATATTCGTTGTCACGTATCAAAAACTCATTGGCATGTGAAGTTTTCAAAGATATAATTTGATAGACTGCTGGGTTTTCTGTTTATAAAAGTATCATATTACGTGTTCAACAAAGTCCAATGTGTATACGAACGTCTCTGTAGTAATGTATGAACCTTATAATATTTACATCGTGTCTTCGTGACATAATGGTAAGTACAAAAGATTATGGAATACCTTATATGAGAATGAGATTGTGTAAATGAAAGTTCGGTTGCAGGGTACTACTATGTARACTGGTACGTGGTAGCTGGAAATACGGTATTATCTCTTTGTGATTACTTGAGTCTATTAATCGTAATATTTTTAATGTGGTCGTAATTTGAATAGGTATTATATTTCATAATTTATTGAAATAAACGAATATTATCGTTCGTATCGTTTATTTACTTTCCCCATATTAATGTGATTGTAATTAGTAGGTAAAGTGACWAATTAAAATTAAAATGAGCTCTCGGAAGAATTGTGCAAATATCGTGTATGCGTTAYTCAAAAGAATTGTACGTAATTTTAGAAAATTGTTCACAAAAATTAGAAATTGAAATAAAACATAATATTATTACAACATGTACTATAAAAAATATTGTATAAAAAATACTTATACCCATTAGGCATATATTATAAATACGGTTTTCAATTATTAGGTGGTAAAAGTAAGTTAATTTAATTTTTTTTTATCGAATATGGTACCACTAATCAAAACAAAACGAATGCGTCTGATGTGAATTTCGTTTACCTTATTAAAATATCTAATAAAAGAATACAGTCTTTAAAAACTGCATAGGTACACATTTTGTTTTTAAACTGATGAAATAACCGAATCGTCTAACAACTTTTCTTCATTTTTTATAATTAAAATATCCCTAAGGCACTATTTATTTTACCAAAAGTAAATCTCTTCTTTATGGTATTCAAGAGTCTTACTGTAATATATATATTACATTTTATTAAATTACGGCTTTCACGTCTGATGGTGTGCTAAGTACTATTAATTTGTAGTATTTTATTAGATTTTACCTTCTTGTCAAATACCTTTAACAATTTATTATACCATTTCATGTACAAAAATAGAAAATTTTTAATATTTTAATTTAAAAAACAAACCATTGAAAAAAAAAATAATAATAGGAATAAGTATAAATCATATAATATTTTGATAATGATCCTCCATTTAAGGCTTCCAATCAAATATGTATATGAAAAATATAATAATGTTTTATTATGTACAATACATAAAATATATTTTGCACGTGTGAATCTCATCCAGTACGTATATTAACATTAAGTTGAGTACAGTAGGTAGTAAGCTTTATGTTTTTGATTCATAATAATAATCATTATTAACGGGAATAATTATTACCATGGGATTTTTATGACGTTATGTGTGCGGGAAAAAAATGTGTTTTTCAAACATTTTAAATATTAATAACAATAATTATAGTAATAATTTCATGAAATTGCGGACATAAAAAATAAAATTATTTACGATAAAGCAAGGAAATATTGTGAATACAAAAAAAATTTTAAAAATCGACTATAATGTTCAATGTACACGCCAATGGTGTACCTAAGCTGAGAAAAGAGAGTTGGTTTGATTAAATGTGTGTGTGTGTGTGTGTGTTTGTGGGTAAGTTATTTGACACCAGAAATGGCTTTAACTGGTCAGAACAGATATATTATTCACTACAAAGCAACTTCTGAACTTATAATACGTATGTATATATATATATATATATTAAAAAAAAAAAAATGTTTTTATCTCACGTCGTATGGACCCGGCTCGTGGTATTCTTCGGTATACGYGGTAGAGACGGGGGAGAAGAGCGAATCGGTAGCGCGAACACGAGCGCACAAACATTGAAAACGCTTTTATTTATCAGAAAATTGAATCCCTCCATTCTCTTGCCGTAATGATCACCACCGCCACCGACGAGATTTATACTCTTCTCGTTCATTTTTCGCGATAGTAACAATAATAATAATAATGTCCTCGGGCCACCGAATATGTACTTCACGGGGGTCGTTGTATTTATTATATAAAATATTATAATTAGGGCTCGGAAGTTGATACATTTTGCATTTTTTTTTGGAACATTTTAGACGATGCTCTCCTGGCTACAAATTTGTTTCATAAGCATGTGAATATGAATAACTAATTTTTATTTTGCATTTTTTTGCATTTTTTGGTGTTTATTACTTTTTAAGTCATTTTTTGACATTTTTAGATCATTTTCCTAAATTTTTAGTCATTTTTACTGATTTCACACTAGTTAATTTCTTATCGTTTCTTGTCGACCATTATGCCGATAACCAGGCATGTAGTCCTAAAGTTATTTGTGAGTATGCTACATATTATTATGTGGCAGCTTTTATCATCAACCAGGCCCGTAGCCACGGTGGGAAAGGGCGTTGCCACCTTAAAAATATTAGACAGACATTGTTTTATATATAACGCTCCCCCCCTATAACTTACTTTACCCCATCAGAAAATTTGGTCTGGCTACAGCCTGCATCAACCCCTCCACCTCCAACTCCTTTCAATTATATAAATTAATAACATATAATTAGTTATTATTTTATTAAGTTGATTTAAAATTATAATAACCTTAACAATGTAATTACATAATATTATTATAAAGTATATTTATTTATCTAATATATAATATAATAATACTTCTGTCAGCTAGTTTAAAACAATTTTTGTGAAGTGGGTATACGCATGTTTTTCAGCGCATACTTCCGGTCTCAAGTTTTTTCTTTAGTATGCTCACTTTTAAAAATTTGAAAAGTGGGTATGCACCGCATACTCACGCATACCCTCCACTACATCCCTGCCGATAACTTAAAACTTGGAAATTACCACAGGCTAAGATAGTACCTATTCAATTTCATCTMGACGATTACATTTGTCGTTGTCAACAATTTCAAAAATATTAAATGGTGAAGAAGCTTCAAGTGAGTGTTTTCCGGATGATTTCAGTGCTGATGAATTGGTGCATTTCAGATTTGCCCCAATCACTTAAGTGGGCGTAGAGAGAAGTTTTTCCAATCATAAATATTTATTAACAGATAATCGTCGTTCATTTACTTTCGATAACATAAAATACGCTCTAATTGTACAATGTAATGATTTTAATTTTTAAATAATTTGTAAGCTTTGATAAATTTATAAAAAAAATATTTTAAATTTTTTTATCTTCCTATTTTAAGGAAATTGTTGTCATTTTTATGTCATATTTTGAATTTTATAGTAAAATAGAGTAAAATATTTTTAAAAAAATGTATTTTTATTAATATATTACTAATATTTGTAATTTTTTAGGACATTTTTTGGCATTTTTATGTCATATTTACATATTTTTTTATGGCATTTTTTACTGTTTTTAATGCCATCATCTTCCAAGCCCTAATTATAATATATTGTGTATTGTATAATTGATGTAAAATACATCATTATTGCTATTATTATTATTATTATTATTATTATTAACATTGTATAACCATCGCTGTTTCGCCATTCCACTGCGTTATATTATATGTACAGACTGGAAAGCCATGCGAAACGATAACGTCGAATGTTGTGCATTTTCATCACACCAAAGACGTTAGAATTATAAGTGTTGTGTTTTTAAATTAACGTAGTTATTTAATTATCTGAATCATACCGAGTGCGTGCTAGCGTTGCAATAATAACGGTCGGGCACAATTAAATAATAAACAGGTATTGATTATCACATAGCGTAATATTACGTTACTATCGTACGCCAAGATTATAAAATATTATAGGTAGTAGCATTATATAATTTATTTCATYAATTTTCAAAAATTGATTTTTAAGTCTGCCGAACYTCACTATGAGACACGACTACGGTAAAATAATACTACGTGGCGCCTAGTAAATAAGGGTACACACCTGCTATAGTAATAGCGAGTCTGTACGCATCAAATATGCATCTGGCCAAAAGGTGTAATACCGACCATAAATCATCCAAACAATTCCCGCGGTTTTTTTTTTAAACTTTAAAAGCGCAGACTATAGTACCTGCAATGATATATTGTTTTTATGGCATACTATCATTCAGAATTCATTAGAAGATTCACAATAAAATCAAAATTCAAACCAGTTAATTTATAAAAATATATAAAAATAAAAAAATGTGCATAGCCGTATGGATCTGCATACCAACAAAAAATATATTATATTGATGATAATTATATTTATGTATTATTATTATTATACAACACAAACGGGTAAATAGTAAATGATGTTGCATAAATCATTTTTAATTACATATAGGTATTATTTAAATTAAATTGTCGTGTAGAACAATTGACAATCATTGTATTAATGTATATCGACTTTGGCAAATGACATACAAAAGTGGTCGATGATAGCATGCATATAAATCATATCAGCCAGCCAATTGAAG